ATAAAACACGAACGAGGGAATAAAACACGGACGGGGGATAAAACACGGACGAGGGAATAAAACACGGACGGGGGATAAAACACGGACGAGGGAATAAAACACGGACGGGGGATTAGGCGAGCATACAGATATGGATACACAACAAAAAGTGTTCAGATAATTGATGTGATTAAAGAAAGAGACATGAGTTTATTTGAAAAAATATGTAGTAACCCAGACCACTCTTTATACGAACTACTTCCTCCTAAAAGACAAAGACCGTTAAGAGAACGCGAACACGATTTCATATTACCTAAGGTTAAAACAGAAAGATTCAAACGGTCGTTTTTAAATAGGTGTCTTTTTAATAATTTTAGCTAAAATAATTAACTTAGATACATAATAATAACTTAGTCTTAGTCTTTTTAAGAATTCTACCTAAGAATAATTAACTTAGATACATAATAATAATTAAGTTATTTATTTTTTTTTGGAACCTTGTATATGAGAATTTTAAATGTAAAGTCACACGTCTGTTGTGGCTATGTTTAATAAAGACTTAATAATAATAATAATAATAATAAAACACGGACGGGGGATAAAACACGGACGAGGGAATAAAACACGGACGGGGGATAAAACACGGACGGGGGGATAAAACCTCAAGAAGGCGTTTGATACTGTTGATCATGCAATATTGCTGTCAAAGTTAAGCGTATATGGTTTTGGAGGTTCTACAGGCAACTGGTTTAGGTCCTATTTACATGACCGCAATCAAAAATGTTATGTCAATGGTCATCTTTCCAGTTATCGCTTATTGCCTTGCGGTATCCCGCAAGGAACTATCTTAGGACCTTTGCTTTTTCTTATCTACATTAATGATTTACCAAATTGCCTGACACATTCCCAACCACGTATGTGCGCCGATGACACTAATTTCACATTTGCTAGCAATAATGTTGATGACATAGACTATAAGCTTAATCAAGATCTTGATAATGTCAATAAATGGCTCATAGCCAATAAGCTAACTCGTAATCAATCTAAAACAGAGTTCATGCTAATTGGGTCAAGACAAAAATTAAGCACGTTACATTCGGCCCCCCTCCTTAGCAATCAATGCGCATCCTGTTCGACAAGTTTCTCAAACAGAGTCCCTTGGGATGAAGCTTGATGAAAATCTGTCTTGGAATGCCTATATTAATGATTTAATAAAAAAGATTGCTTTTGGTATTATTGGTGCTTTGAAACGTGTTCGATCTTTTGTTCCAGCTACAACGTTGAAGCTTGTTTACAACGCTCTAGTTCAGGCTCATTTCAGCTACTGTTCTGTTTGGGATAACTGTAACAAAACCTGTGCTGAAAAGTTCCAAAAACTACAAAATCGTGCAGCCAGGGTATTAACATTCTCTAATTATGATACTAATGCCGATTTACTTTTTGAAAAGCTAAATTGGAAACACTTTCCTTTCAGCGTAAATTTCAAAAGGCTGTAATGGTCTATAAATTTCTTAATGGTTTAGCTCCCGATAATTACGCGCGGTAAAAATGGGGGCTCATTACGCGCGGTAAAAATAACCACTCTCCGCCCAAAAATGATTATTTTTCCCACGCGTAATGCAAATATATACAACATTTGCGAACTTCACAGAGCTATATTTTCCTCATTTTACAACATTTCCAACCTCGTACCCAGGGCTTCTGCGCTTATTGCTCTCAGAAGCCCTGGGATAATCCAACCCAGAACGTGATTTGATTGGTCAATGCGAATACAATGAAAGTACCGGAAGTTATTCATTAACCGGGTGATATTTTGGCAACATGTCTGCTATCACAAGGAGTGTATACAAAACTGTTAAACTTTTTTGAACCAAATTCTGGGCTATTTTGAAAAGAGCAAATGAAGAAATGGACTATTTGTATTTGTAAATAAGCAAGAATGGCGAACAAAGTAAAAAATTTAATTAACATAATAAAGCGAAACATTTCTCGTTCGAAAATTGAAATTTCAAGTATATTAAATCTACAACTTCAACAACGATATTCAATGTAAATATTACATAATAAAGTTTTTAATACCTTTTTACCTTTATTTGATAAATTGTATGTTCTATATTATTGCATTTTGTATTGGAATAGGATAAATTATGAATTATACACAAATATTTAAATTTACAAATTATTCCCAATTTGAGGATGCTGGGTGCACTGGCTCAGAGTTTGTATTAATGCCTATTTATTATTGAGTTATATTAGTGCCTCTAAATCTTTAATGTACAAACATTGTAATCTGTTATTTAATACCATAAAGAAACTGTTGATAGCACATATATTAAATGACTATTTATAATCAAAATGAACTAAATTTTCAATCATCATATAGCATATTTCCCCCAATATTGAGGGAATAATTTCTCATATTTATTTTTATAATAAGCCAATATTGCCCAACTGTGAAGTAAATATTGCCCGACTGGACTAGTCTGCCCAACAATTGAGCCCAGCCCTGTATGCTTATGACCAGGCCTACAGGTGGACCCCCAACCTGATTGGTCACAATTTTTCTTTCTCCAAAATTTCCCCTCCCCATGTACAAGGATTGACAATTTGACAGTTTGATTAGATTTGGAAAAAAAACACAGTTTTATTGGGTCATTCCAGAAAACACCCATACCACTCCCACAGAGTAAATTGAAAGTTAATCCCTTCTACCCCTTTGGATGTCCTAATATATTTACTATTATCAGAAACAATTCCCCCCCCCCCTCCCCCTCTGAACGGCAGAAATTTCCTCTGTGGGGGGAGTGTGGATATTTTCTGGAACGACCAATCCCAGAAATGCTTTTGCACAAATTTTAAATTTTCTTACAATTTTCTTGTATGTCAGAACACTGTTCTAAGTTGCAACTAAAATTCAGAGGTCTAAAAGGCTCAAGTCAATCCCAGTGATGTAACTGCAAGGTTTTCAAATCACCAAAACACATTAAAATAGCCCCCCAAAATGGCACTTTATTAACTAGAATTTAAAAAGTCTACATTGTACTATATTAATATACATGGATAGCTTGGGAGTCCAAACTAGTGCAGGCCCCTCCTGGGGATTTCAGTCCCCCTTGAAGGCCTTAATTAGAAATTCTGGCTACATCACTGCTCAATTCCATTGCCAATGATGGTGTTAGCATGATTAGACAGAGTAGGTTAACAAACTAGTGTGTATTATGAGATAATCCATTGAACACCAATGATCTATCCTAACATATAAAATCATCTGGTGCAGTGGTGGATCCAGCAAAGTTTTTTTGGGGGGTGCTAACCAATGGCGAAACGAGCGCCGAAGGCGCAAGATTTCTAAGGTGGTCCGGGGGCATACTACCACGGAAAATTTTTAAAATTTGGGTCTCTGAAATGGCATTTCCAGCATTCTGAGAAAACATTCTGGAAAATTTTTAGATTCTCAAAACATTTAAAAATTCAGAATTCCACTATTGTTAACCACTATTCCACTATTGTTAACTAGTGATACGCAACTGAATTCCTTAACATAAGTTGGTTAGAATTAGGATAAACATCATTTTTGCACCCACCCCCCCCCCCATGCACCCCTGTTGACCAGAGCCTGGGGGGGTGCACACCAGAGTAAAATAAAAAGTAAGACACAATGTATAACTTAATAGTTAAGGTTAATGGCCAGAACTAAATGATAAACAATATTTTATAATAAACCCAAATTAGTTCAGCACCATTGGTTCTTATAACACTGTTCATTCCAATACTAGAACATCAGCAATTAACAAAAGTTGGAGTTTCATCCGATGACATGTATGCTTCTAACCATGCTGTCCATGCAGCTATCAGACAGTTTTTAATTTTCAACATTGATTCCCAAAGCCATTATTCTCAAGATTTGCCAAAAGGTTTTCCAAATATTAAAGTACAGAATTATATTACATCACTCATCACTGTTCATTTTACATTCTTCAAGTAGATGCATGTTTACAGTACAGTATATCTTGTGCATTTATAATTAAATCTTGCAATATCTTGTTCAAAACCCTCAAATCCAAGATAATCGGCAGCCAGCCATGTTACCAGTAAGATTTCTAGTCTGTTAATTTTGAAATAACCAAGGTTGTACTCGAATATAAATATTTATACTTTAATTATTGAATAGCCCCTGTATATCGCTGACAAGGTATGCTGTTGTCGCGATATAAGATGTTCTTTTGCTCGCCAAAGGGCTAATTTTACGCATAATTGTATCTCTAAATTGATCATTCCTGACTTTAAATTCCAAAAGCCACGCGAGAAGCAGTTTAAGACGTCTTTACAAGTCCAAATATATCATAAATTGCAACAAATAATCCATTCTCACTCCTTGCGTAAAAATATGCCCAGTCAGCGTTTTTAGCTGGAGCTACTGTTTACTTCCGCTTCCGGGGGCACCACTGTTCTATGGTGTTCCGGTTTGGATTATCCCAGGGCTTCTGAGAGCAATAAGCGCAGAAGCCCTGGGTACGAGGTTGCAACATTTCGCAACGAAACTTTGCAATTTTACTCATTTTAAGACGCTCTTTCTAGGTGTAGCTAGTATTGGATTTAGCTCCTCTTGTCTAGATCAAAATTTCGTCCATAGCTGGAATCACCCATTAATAGACGTATGAATAATGGCCGCAAAACGTTTCTGTGTTTACAAGTTGAAATTGCCAGTAATTCACTACTAATTTTGTGTTGACACGTATTTGATATTCTTACCCGCTTGTAAGGTAAACATTAAAGTTGTAAAAAATTCATTATATAAGAAAAAATTTAAACACAAATGATCAACCCGTACCGTATAAAACTCGTCTTGTAATCTGCTGGCGTGTTATGCAGAGCGACATATGTGTACGTGAGAGTATAACGTCATTTAATAGAAAGTGTGGCAAGTGATTAAACTAAAAAGTGCTTTCTTTATACCGCATAAACAGCGGATGTTAATCAGACACGTAAAAGGTTCAAATGTAAACTGCTAGTATAAGCAACTAATATGTTTTGAGTCAACCTCGTTGCCAGGGCCTTTTTGAAAATGCGGCGAAGGGAAGGCCCTGGGAACGACGTTGGTTTAGAGTGTCTTGTTTCTCGAGCTTCCTCAGTAAATTTTGTATTCTCAAAAGTATCAAGTAAATAAACTGAATCCGTATTTTATCCCCCCGTCCGAGTTTTATACCCTCGTCCGAGTTTTATCCCCCCGTCCGAGTTTTATCCCCTCGTCCGTGTTTTATTCCCCCGTCCGTGTTTTATCCTCCCGTCCGTGTTTTATCCCGCCGTCCGTGTTTTATCCCCCCGTCCGTGTTTTATCCCCCCGTCCGTGTTTTATCCCCCCGTCCGTGTTTTATCCCCCCGTCCGTGTTTTATCCCCCCGTCCGTGTTTTATCCCCTCGTCCGTGTTTTATCCCCCCGTCCGTATCCGTGCCATCCGTATCCGTGCCGTCCGTATCCGTGTTTTAACCCTACCCACCAAGGAATATTGCAGCCTAGTCCCAGGCCTTCCAAGCGCGGGCGAGTCACAGGCTGTCGTGAACTTGCGGGCGTCAGTTTCTGAAAATATCCGAACTGGGGGTCGCGCTGGAAGGCCTAGCAAAATTCGCATAATCAACATGGCGGTGTATTTTCGTGAATTGGATTATAAATGCCCCTAACAGGCAGGTTATACCGGCGGCGTTGGTCAGGTCTCTGAAAACGAACGTGTATTTTTTTACTATAGTGTGTCTAAACACAGGTTTATATTGCTGTATTAATATTTGATAGGCCGTTTTTGGCTAATTCTCAACCCTTTCAAATATGGTTACTCAAGTTTAAACATAGCTCTGTTGGTCAATTTTGCACGAAAATGCACAGGGCATATATTAAAATTTAAGTTCGACAATACTGAATGCAATACACATAGTTCACATGTAATAGCTCTTTTAGTTTTCAAGTTAAAACAAATCACACCGGGCAACTTTTTTTTGTGTCACCCGGTACTATAATAAATAATAATAAATTAAAATTATTCAGTACATTAAATTTAAGTAGAATAAATTAATTTAATACAGACACTCACTCAGACTATGATATATTTTATACCTTTAAACTGTGGTATATAACAGACAACCATTGAGATGCACAAGCATACGAAAACAAGCCTAAAGCCTATTATTATTAAAGTACAAATAATGCAATAATTATGCATTTGTTTTGTCACCTCTGTAATTGTAACATTGCAAATTTCACAGAAAATTTTTAGCCTTTGACCTAGGTTCCCAGAAAGAAAAAAAAATTTTCCACCCCTGGATGACCCTTGCAGCCCTGTTTTGGGGTACAACTCTTTATTCGTCTCAGCATACCTATACCTTTAGACACCTTGGATACAGTGGTTTCCACTTGTTTTTTCCACAAAAGTTGATCATCTATAATAATGCCTAACGTTTTCGAATACTTAACACGCTTAATTTTTGTTTCACCTAATTCAATTACAGGGTCAGTTTCAATCTTTGATAGTCTCTGTTGCGATCCAATTATCATGTATTCTGTTTTATCTTTATTTAAAGTCAATTTATTTGCCAATAACCATTGATGAATATGTTCTAGATCATCATTTAAACGCGTTTGAATGTCCTCTACATTGGAACCTTTTGTTGTTATATTAGTATCATCTGCGAACATATTCCCAGATGTATATGATAAACAGTTTGGTAGATCGTTTATATATAGGAGAAACAGTAGTGGTCCCAAATTAGATCCTTGGGTACTCCACAATGTATGGTGTGTTGTTGCGACCTAGTTTGTCCGATCTTGCACATTTGGGTTCGATTTGGTAAATACGATTTAAACCAGTTATAGGCCACTCCATTTATGCCATAGAGTTTTTTAACAAAATGCTATGATTTACGCAATCAAATGCTTTCTTTAAGTCAAGGAATATAACCCCATTCAAATAGCCTTTATCCATATTTAAATACTATTTGTTTGTAACATTTAGGAGCGCTGTTTGCATGGAGTGCTTCTTTCTGAAACCAAATTGCTGGTTCACTATTAGGGACCGGTCATAAAGTAACTGCCAGGGTGGGCCGGAGTGATTTGGGATGGGCCATGGAAAATCTTTGAGCAGTTTCGATGGGCCGCGAATTTTTTGTATGTCCACGGTTGGGCCACCAAACAAAAACCCATATCTACTTTCATCGCTTATTATGATAAATATAATAGCAAATAAGATTTTAAAATCAAACATAATACAAATCTAACAGCGCTGCACAGAGGGCAGCAGGGGCAACTGCCCCCTCTCCCCGCCGAGAAAATTTAACTAATTTTATAATGTAATTATGCTTGTAACGGATAATTATGCAGTCAGGAAATGAAAAATTTCATGCATACAATATTCGAAGTGTCTATACAGCCGCCTATTTAGTAAACTGTCACTTGTCAATCCATACTCATCAAATTTTCAAAACTTTATTGTAATCATATGAAGCAAAAGTTCTGTCACTTGTTCTTTACACTTGCCAAATGTTAACTGTTGAGTAACATACACAAACTAATCGAGGAACATGCATTACTGTAGCAAAGAGTCAATCATATATCGAAGACCAATGAATAGTAGGGAATGTTTTGAAGGTCATGAGTGAAGTTTATAATATAGCATTTGTAAATTCTGAACGCTGATTGGCTAAGAGCCGTGTTGATATAACTCAATGTCAACACGGGAAATTTTCCGCCGCTTGTAAACACGGAAATTTTTCTTATCCTTCGGGCTTTTGACATTGCTATATTATAAAAAAAATATAAAACATTTTTTCTGTATTGATATATAGTTATATCAACACTCGTGGAAGTTGGGAAAACTCGAAATTGTATGAAAACACTCCGCCCTTCGGGCGTCGTGTTTCCATACAATTTCTCGTTTTCCCAATTTCCACTCGTGTTGATATAACTGTATATCAACACGAAAAATGTTTTATATTTGTTAAATATAATTCAATTCCAATCCTGTGCACAGTTAATGATATGCCACACTGTTCGGTTTAACTCAGAAAAACAATATCTGTTTGAGTTGTGTGCCATTGGTCTGACCATCCATATAATATATGATTATTGTAGCTGTTAAGTTATTTTCCATACTAATGAATTTAGGTAAGATTGTCTTGGAAATGGGTTGTTCTGACAAAGTTATCCAGCCAATATCCAGTGCATCAGTACATATATTCATCATTCTTGTATTAATCTCTAAACAAGAACATATATATTAGAAAGCAAAATGACAATGTAATGAGGAGGGAGGGTGGGGATTCTTTTATTAGCATTTGAAAGTGGTTGTAACAATTTTGTTTAATTAACTCTAATGTGTAAAACCAAAATGTATAAGTATAATTTTAACTGATGACATCTTTACCTTTGCTCTAACATTTATACATTTGATGACAACTTAGATTACTTAGTTGGACTGTTGTTTTGAACAGAGTTACAGAAATACAGGACCAGGATTTAATTCAAAATATCCTGAGAATACTAGTTTCTTGTGATATTGTTAATTGGCAATATAATGCCTGCAGCCAGAGATTTGACTGTTTAAAATATTAAACAATGATTGTTTTTATAGTGTATAAATATATATAATAAAATATGTGGTATTTGACTACTTACCAAATGAGGATAAGTTAATAGTAATCTGCTTCGTAGATACAAAAATAAAGATATACACCGGCACTGTATTGATATATGTTCATACCTGCAAGTTTTTTTCATTATAAAAGTGTATTTTCCCAATTTAGATTGGGTGGGTGGGTCATGAAATAAATTTGGTAAGATTGGATGGGCTTTGAATTTTATCTACATCCTAAGATGGGTCACCAAACCTATTGGCAAAATTTGTGATTTACCTCCAGCCCACCCTCTCAGTTACTTTATGACCAGTCCCTTACTCCATTTGTTTCCAAATAATTAGAAAGCTGCTGTGAGATAACAATATTTGTGTTATAGCGTCTTCCATACAAATCTAAACGTGGTATCTTTGGGAATAAAAATCTAAACGATGATGAGAAATTCCTTGCAGTTATGAATTAACATCCCAAGGGACATCAAATATGTTTTCAAATAAAATTTCTTTTAACGAAAATTAGTACTTTATTGAACCAAATGGGTAAACCTGCTAGGGAATAATCTGAAATTAAAGTTAAAAACACTGAAGTTAAAAGATTCGTTTTAAAGTGGCAATTGTTTTCAACTAATATTCTTTCTAAAACTCTCGCCTCCGTTCATAGTATAAATTATTTAAATCCTTTTTGACTCTATAGGATTATACGGAAGGTTTTTTTGTAATTCGTAGCCTGAAGAGACGGACAATTAAACAGCCCGAAACGTAGCGAAAATAATAAAATATTGGAAAAAACCTTCCGTTTCATCCTATACATGGTGTATAAAAAAGTAGACAATTTTGAAACGGCTCTCAATTTCACAAATCCGTTGATTTCATGAATTTTTTTATAAATCTAGATTGTTTGGGAACTTATAATGCAGAATAAACAAAAAAATTAAGATAAAAGTTCAAAACGCATTTGTTATGTGTTTTATCAATGGTCCAAATATCACAAAATTTACTCAATTTTAAGTCCTTTAGAGAGCTGCTGCCGGAAATTTTCATATTTTGGCATTTACAGCCCATCACGCATACTTAATTCATTCATTTACCTAATTTGTATATTGTTATTGTACAGCAAGTACGATCGTACTATGGTGGACCAGGAACTGCGTGACCCAGTTTCGATCTTGTGCGAATCGTTAAACGTTCAAAAACGTCGAGATTTTGACTTGATAAACTAGACACTAATTGCGAAACTAATGTTCTCGAAGTTGGCAACGTGGACTGATTTCGCTAAATGTTTTGCTTTAATTTGGTCATGCAAAATATACTTTATCCAGGCAAAATATATCTAGTGCCGTGTATAAATTAGATGTAAATCTGGACAAAGCATAGATAACTAAATGCGCAGTTTTCAAAAGTATTTCCTCGCATTCGAATTCGATAGATAAGTTAAATAGCCCACAATATTTAGAATAAACATGCCGTGCCTAAATTTAACTTTTGCCGTACATCAATTTTTGTCGTGCCGTGCGTGCTGTTGCAAAATAGTGAGCTTAAGCAAGGGACGTTTTTGACAACACGGACGTCGACCGGAAGTAAAGTTGACGTTTTTCACCAATCACAGCCCTTGACCCAGTCTTCTGACGTTACTCATGCCGTTCGTGTTGTCAAAAACGTCACTTGCTTAAGCTCACTAATATTGCAGCTACAGTCATGAACGTACCGTGTAAACGGGACTTAAGTTAACTTAACAAATTATCTGAATTGTTGCTAGGTTAATGCAGTTTCATCTCGCCTATCCATGGATTCCTGATAACTGCATGCTTGTGCAAAAAACAAATTGATATGTCTTTGTTTTTACGGTTCGCGATTTTCTATGACTATGAATATTATATGATAGCCAGATAGGAGTAACAACAACAACAACAACAACAACAACAACAACAACAACAACAACAACAACAACAACAACAACAACAACAACAACAAGATTAGCAGCGATTGGGGACCAGTTCCTGGTCCAAAAAGTAAAATACCCAACTTTGGTGCTCAAAACAATTGGGATGAGGGTGGGGTGGGTAGGTAAAAAAAATTCAAAGAGTTTAAAATTGGCCACGTTGCATATTTATTGCGTTTTCGACTATTATCTTACATATTTGCCAATTTCAAATAATAAAACTTGGATAAGATGACAAAACATAGAGGAAGAGTTTATAAAAGACCAAACTGGACTCGATTATTAACTGTGATTTTTGTTTTAGAAACCTCGTACCACTACTCGAGGATCGTTTACATGCGATATTAATGAATTGAAAGCAAATGATCGTTTTATTGTCGCTTTTGAATTTCGCCTGTGGACGGCAACCCTTGCTGGGGTAAGATAGCTATGATGAATTGTTTGTTTTTGTTTCAACCCTTGCAGTGGTAAGATAGCTATGATAAATTGTTTGTTTTTGTTTCAACTCTTCCTGGTGTAAGATAGCTATGATGAATTGTTTTTGTTTCAACTCTTCCTGGGGTAAGATCGCTATGATGAATTGTTTGTTTTTGTTTCAACCCTTGCAGTGGTAAGATAGCTATGATGAATTGTTTGTTTTTGTTTCAACTCTTCCTGGTGTAAGATAGCTATGATGAATTGTTTTTGTTTCAACTCTTCCTGGGGTAAGATCGCTATGATGAATTGTTTGTTTTTGTTTCAACTCTTCCTGGTGTAAGATAGCTATGATGAATTGTTTTTGTTTCAACCCTTGCAGTGGTAAGATAGCTATGATGAATTGTTTGTTTTTGTTTCAACTCTTCCTGGTGTAAGATAGCTATGATGAATTGTTTTTGTTTCAACCCTTGCAGTGGTAAGATAGCTATGATGAATTGTTTGTTTTTGTTTCAACTCTTCCTGGTGTAAGATAGCTATGATGAATTGTTTTTGTTTCAACTCTTCCTGGGGTAAGATCGCTATGATGAATTGTTTGTTTTTGTTTCTGGTGTTATGCACTCAGATGAAGATATATGTTTGTGACGTCTCTGAGCTCCATACTGGGCAAGCTGAAAAGTTTGCTTGACCGCGGTGGGAATCGAACCCACGACATCTGGTTTGCCAGTCCAATGCTCTACCAACCGAGCTACGAGGTCAAGTCGGTTCGAGTGGATGATATATCGGAACTAGAATGAGTTCTATCTATTATGAAATATACCTATTATGAAATATATAATAGCGAAGTCTTGAATTTCTACCAAAACCTACTTCATACTAAGACCTTCTTCCTACAAACACCTTCCTACCAAGACCTTCTTCATCCAAGACCTCCTTCCTACCAAGACCTTCCGACAAAGACTTTCTTCCTACCAAGACTTTCTTCCTACAAAGGCCTTCTTCCTACCAAGATCCTCTTCCTATCAAGACCTTCTTCCTACAAAGACCTTCCTGCCAAGACCTTCTTCCTACCAAGACCTTCTTCGTCCAAGACCTTCTTCCTACCAAGACCTTCTTTCTACCAAGACCTTCCTACAAAGACTTTCTTCCTACAAAGTCTTTCTTCCTACAAAGACCTTCTCCCTACTAAGACCTTCTCCCTACTAAGACCTTCTTCCTACAAAGACTTTCTTCCTACAAAGGCCTTCTTCCTACAAAGGCTTTCTTCCTACCAATACCTTCCTACCAAGAACTTCTTCCTACCAATATCTTCTTCCTACCAAGATCTTCTTCCTACCAAGATCTTCCTACCACGATCTTTTTCCTGCCACGATCTTTTTCCTGCCAAGACCTTCTTCCTGCCAAGACCTTCTTCCTGCCAAGACCTTCTTCCTGCCAAGACTTTCTTCCTACCAAGACCTTCTTCCTAACAAGAACTTCTTCCTAACAAGAACTTCTTCCTGCCAAGACCTTCTTCCTACCAAGAACTTCTTCCTACCAAGAACTTCTTCCTACCAAGAACTTCTTCCTACCAAGAACTTCTTCCTACCACGATCTTTTTCCTGCCAAGACCTTCTTCCTGCCAAGACCTTCTTCCTGCCAAGACCTTCTTCCTGCCAAGACCTTCTTCCTACCAAGACCTTCTTCCTAACAAGAACTTCTTCCTAACAAGAACTTCTTCCTGCCAACACCGTCTTCCTGCCAAGATCTTCTTCCTACAAAGACCTTCTTCCTACAAAGACCTTCCTACCAAGAACTTCTTCCTACCAAGACCTTCTTCCTAACAAGAACTTCTTCCTAACAAGAACTTCTTCCTAACAAGAACTTCCTGCCAAGACCAAGACCTTCTTCCTGCCAAGACCTTCGTCCTGCCAAGACCTTCTTCCTGCCAAGAACTTGTTCCTACCAAGAACTTCTTCCTGCCAAGATCTTCTTCCTACAAAGACCTTCCTACAAAGACCTTCTTCCTACCAAGAACTTCTTCCTACCAAGACCTTCTTCCTGCCAAGACCTTCTTCCTGCCAGGACCTTCTTCCTGCCAAGACCTTCTTCCTGCCAAGATCTTCTTCCTACAAAGACCTTCTTCCTGCCAAGACCTTCTTCCTAACAAGACCTTCTTCCTAACAAGACCTTCGTTCTACAAAGACGTTCTTCCTACCAAGAACTACTTCGTACCAAGACCCAGTACGCGGTTTATGCCGTTTGGAAATCTACCACACCCAGGAGTATTTTGAAATTGCTGCCCTTTGTCTCTTTTGCACAGCAAGGAATAACTTCATGAATCGCATAATTATTAATTATACTAGTTTAGTACTGAAAGTATTAAATGAGCACTAATTTAACTGCATTAAATTCTGTTTTAGGCATAATATTAATATTTTTGTTTTGCAGTACCATTCCAACGATCTTGTTGTGGGAATAGAAGCGAACGCCGAGTACGTGGACTCTCTTAATAAGACACAAGTGTCACGAGAATTAGGCGTGGTAAGTTGCCGTTGTCATACTGTGTGCATTTTGTCATGATGTAAACTATGGCAACAACATTTTTTCTTCTTAATTAAAAACATAAACGTTCTCTGACTAAATTTATTTAAAACGAGCTTTCGACTACCTAACTGTAGTCTTCATTCCGCTTTACCCGTCGAAGACTACAGTTAGGTAGTCGAAAGCTCGTTTTAAATAAATTTAGTCGGGGAACGTTTATGTTTTTAATTATGTCTAAACCTGGCTACGCTATCTCCATATTTTTTGTTCTGTTTGCCGAGCTATGCTACATTGGAGTTGGAAAATGGCGTGAAAAATATCTAAAACGTTTTCTGTAGTCTTTGCATATTTTTATTCAAGCCCTTTTTTCAAACCATATGAGATGGTTCCTCCAAGGTTCCTCTGTATGAGATCGCCCGGATGTGTAGTTGTATACCAAATACCTCATACACATTGATGAAAACACCCAAAAAACGCTTAAATTAAACGACTTTCACATAAAATTCACGAAATTCAAATATACCAAATGCAATTATTCAATGTAAATATACCATACACCTGTATTAAGAATCCATAAGATACTTTAATCCCCCAAACCCCCTGACAGACCCCATCTGTGTCAATCGTAATATTATAGCTCAGTGGTATCAATCCTAATTGTATAATATTGATGTTTCAGGTTAGCATTCGTGTTTCCCCTGAGAACACACCTGCAAAATCTAAATCAACTCCAGTCTGGGTTATCATTGTGGCTGTGCTGGGTGGAATCTTGTTGCTTGCTCTTGCCATTTTGGCTTTGTTTAAGGTGACTGATACAAATATTTTAATGATAATAGCAATTGAAAAGAAAAGTGTTTTGTACAGATCAAAACTTTATTCTGAAAGTCGATGTGATTTATTTCAAAATCTGTTTCCAAGTTTGTATTGAAAATTAGACAATGTCTACAAAATATGTTATGACGCCAATTTTTATCTCTCTTGTATTCTAGCTTGGTTTCTTCAAAAGAAATCGACCTCCACAAGACATATCTTCCCCACAGACTGACGACACACCACCGATCGTGGCATCCTAGTTTTCAAATTAATACCTTTGGTAAAGATTAAAATTATACTGAGTGATCAAGAGTTAAGAATTGATTAATTTACTGTATGAAAGTGGGTTTAATGCTCCAAACCATACTCCATAGAAATTTTGATTGCATGTGTATCATAATTTTACATATTTTTATTTGTTGATTGTAGTTTAGTGCACGAAATTAAATTTGCATGCGTAGATACTAATAATTTGGAACATTATTTGGAATTTGGAATATTAGCTAAGGTCGGCAAAAGCATTGAGAAGCAGTCCAAATTGCTGTCCTAATTGTAATTATGGAGGATTATTTTTTGCTGTCTTTAATATTTCTGATAATATATGCATGCTTGAAAGGAAATGTCATATAGAGTTGTATGTATACTTTTTGTAACTTTTTGTAATACTTATTTTCATGTTTCTTGGAGATGTAAATAAATTTTTTTGCATCTAGTAATAATTATGCATGTTGATTTTAAAGTTGTGTATGTTGGTTTTTACTTCTGTAACAATGGCAGTTGTGCAACGAAGGAACAGCAAAGAAAAACCAACAAAATTGCTACTTAATTTTTGTTGCATGCCATATATGGCATGCAACTTTCATATAGCTCTAAATTTCGTGTCGCGGTAGCGGCAGTGGGTAGCGGTGAGCGTACCGGTCACGTGGCAAATTCGTAAAATGCGACAAATACCGAGCTTTTCCGACGAACATTTACGAACATTTATAAGCATAATTATCTCTGCAAATTATAAATTTTGAATCGTGTGAACAACTGATCATGTGATGTGATGTCATGTCAATTGTGAAACCATACTTCATGCACATTTTCGTCGATTCTTGGCCGAATATTTTACATAATCGAGCGCTTTTAGAAGACCTTAGAAGGTATAGGTAAAGCTTTGCTGTTTTTAATTTACCTTATATTCTGTTATCTGTTGTGATTTTGGAGTCTTTGTGCTCGCACTGATTATTTATCAGGCGTTATTATATGGCGTGAAAGGCCACGCTATCAAAATACTCAATTTTATACTCAAACTGAAACGGAGCCATTATGCTCGCACTGATTATTTATCAGGGCGCTATTAGCGTGAAAGGCCACGCTCTCAAAATACTCAAATTGAAACGGAGCCATTGTGCTCGCACTGATTATTTATCAGGCGCTATTTGCGTGAAAGGCCACGCATTCAAATTAAACCTTGCCATTGTGCAGGTAAAAAAAGCAGCCCATTGCCATTGTGCTGGGATTATTGAGACTTTGCCATTGTGCAATTTTAAAAGAATTACAAATACAAACTGTCAAAGACAATACTGAAAATACACAGACTACAGTACACTACTTGTTGACAATTACTGTAACGAAACTATTTTATTCCAAACAATGAGAATATAGAAATATGGGTATGTCAATTGAGATATACAGACTAAGAATTGGTTCACATAACAACTTTGTGCAAGCACGACATTCCATGAATCAAATGAAAGGTAAATTTTGGAACCATATGTTAGTAATGTTCTACTTAGAAATATTTTATTTACCATGCTTGAAAAATCTGGTTACAAAGATTGAAAGTAATAATGAAGTTTGCATGTGGTATACACATATGGTATCTTATCATGTTTATGTACCATTGCTATTGAGGCTTGCAAATGATGTGGAGGAAAATCCAGGCCCAATTAATATCAATGATATTGTTGATCATAGTTTTACGGTTCGAGCAGACTTCAACCAAGGTAATATATCCATGTTTGGCATAAATGCTGAAAAACAATGTGTTGCCATGTCAATTTATGCTATTGTATACAATGAAATAAAATCTGTTAATATTTGGGATACACCACTTACGAACATGCTTCTAGTTAATGCAAACAATCTTTATGCCATTATTAGTCCGCACATTCAGAAAGATTTCTTGTTGCTCATGTTACCCTGGGTTTATTTCCATGAAAATACACGATTCTATTTACGATTTTATCAAACAAAAACACTTTTATTCATCAAATATATAAGAACCATGCTCTCTTAACAGTTTTCTCTCGTATGACCTTGTGGGCCACATTTGGCACAAGGTGCCCTAATTATTATCCGGGTTACACTCTCCCCTACTTTAAAAGTTCATCACACATGATGCTTAATTACAACTAAAATGTTCAGAGGCTTAAGCTCCTAGTGTTACATTAACTCACGTCATTTACGTAGTCAGTAGGTTGATCAGGCCTACTCACACTAACATATTTTCCAAACTATGCATTTTCTTCGCCGTACAATGCATCCAACTAGACTTCTAATGTAACCTTTGAGTTAATAACTTCAGTTCTTACGTATCCGCACAAGCTTTCTACAATTGTAGCGTTTTGCTTAGGTTATTTAGTTCAAAATGTTTGCATAATAAGTTCACTTACAGTTACCAAGTTCGACGTTACCACATTCCTACTGGTCCAGTGGGGTAAAACGGCGTTGATGCGTTGCACATCGGCGGATGAAAGATTTGCCAAGGGCACTGCATCGCGATCGGTGACGAAAATTGCGGTTGTGGTGGTAACCATCCTGGGTTCCAACGTGGGTAAGGGGTCATCGGCCAAGGTTGCAGATTCGTATTAACAGCTTGACAAAATAATGCTGGGTTTCCCGGTTGATTATATCCGAATTGTACCGGTGGTTGTCTTACTCGTTGCGGGCGTTCTGCTGGCCAAGGGTCCTCAATATTTTCGTCATTCCATGGTTGGACTTCGTTCTCGCCCATTTCGTTTTGGACTGGTGCATTTACGTTTCCGATTTCATTGTGGGGAAGAACTTCTCCGTTTAATTCTTCTCCACCTTGGCCATTGACATTCACCAGATGAGGACCTTCGTTAGGAATGTCTCCATTAATCTCTACATCTGGTACTACGACTGGTTCTGGTCTCTGGGCCGATCTGTATTCTTCGAAGTTTATATCTGAGTAGCCATCTTCGTCCGTGTCGGATTCTCGTGCTTCATTCATTGCTTCATCAGTAACGTGGGATGTTTTGACAGGTCGCTTTTTCCGATTTCTACTATTCCTTTTGTTCCCTTTGTTTGCTGATTGTTGCTCCAAAAAGTGACAGGGTAGAAGCAGGTTTCTATGAAGAACACGTACTCTTCCTTCTGCTCCTTCCGATTTTACTTTGTACACTGGGGTATCTTGACCTTTTCGTTCGACGACAATGTGTATCTTGTCTTCCCAGTAAGCTCTAAGTTTTGCTGGTCCCCCACGTTCGCTCAAGTTACGAACCATGTGCTCTCTTTCGCTCTCTCTCTCCTCTTGTGTGAAGTTGATGCCCCGTTCTCTTTCTAACGATCTCGTACGCATCTTTCATATCCGTAGCCCACTGTTCCACATACTTTGGATAACTTACACTCTGCGATAGATGACACAGTCCAAGTATCTGATCAATAGGTAGTCTTGGTGCTCTACCAAACAATAGGAAGAATGGTGCGAATCCTGTTGCATCGTTCCTCGTACAGTTATACGCATGTACGACTTTGTTTAGACTGTCTCCCCAATTCGACTTCTTTTCTTCTGGCAGAGTTCTGAGCATGGCAAGCAAGGTCTGGTTGAATCGTTCGGCTTGTCCATTTCCCTCGGGGTGGTATGGCGTTGTTCTAGAATGTTGTACTCCACAAAGTTCCTCTAGATGTTTAAACAGATTGTTCT